CGTCACTTTGACCAATGAATAACATTAGGATGAAGAAAGAGAAAAGGTAGCATGTTCTTAAAATGCAGAAATCTCAAGGATTATTCTCACTCTAATACTCAAACATGTCTTAATATATGGTTATAATGACAAATAAGATTTTAATTTGTCTATTCTAGTTTGATTTTACATTGTGTAATGAAAAAAGAGTAAAAACAAGATAACAAATAATTAACTGTTTGAGCCTAAGGAACTTCTATTTAAGAGATCTTAGGTTCAAGTCTTGATGTCATATTTAGTTGATAAGTGAAGCTAGTGAGTAGTCGCATATACTTGAGTTTGCTCTCTTCTCTCTCTCAGGGTGCATGTTCATATGTATCTATATAACTACATCTGACAACTTAGCCCGCGTCTCATATTTAGGGCTCCTTGCTTTAGCAATTTTGATTAGTGATGTTTTAAGATCATTTAGATTATTAAAGTGAATTGCATGACATTCAAATACCCTAGCAATACAAAGACAACTAGTACAAAGACAAATAGCAAATCACAATAAATGTTTATTCTTTATTCTCTAAATCAATTTGGATTTCATCATTTTATAAGTTTCTATTGATGATAAAAAGAGACGATAATTATCGCATATAATGTAATGTAGGATTGGAGGGACTATTGGAGTGCTTTTACCGTTTATGTATTAAATATTTATTGTGTAAATAATTTTCCAATCATTACAGCTCGGAGATTGGATAATATATCTCTATTTATTATATATGACATATAATATATATATATATATTTGCATGTGTCTACCATGTGTTGTGTCTTACATTTCTTAAAAATTTTCATGTCAAAGTGTCAGTGTCGTGTTGGTCTCATGTCACATATCTGTGTCCGCATCATTATCCCGTCAATTCAGAATGCAGCATGTTGTCTTAATTATGATAATCAGTTATTGTTAAAATATTCCAATTCTCTTGCACTTAAAGCGTCATCTGAGAAGGCTAATTGATTTTTTGTTACATGGTTTAACCTTGAACATCAGTAAAGAGAAGAAAGAGGATAAAAGGATTTGATTCAGCTGATAGAATGGACAACTCACAAGATAATGTCTGGGGAGACCATATGATACATTCAGAGTCATCAGAGCTACCACTGTTAGACTTTGTTAAAGTATTTGCTGCTTCCAATATCTTCAGCAGCACAAATAAACTTGGGGAAGGAGGATTTGGCCCTGTTTATTGGGTAAACAAATTCTTTTCTTTTAAATATTTGATACTACCATATACATGCACCTGTGATATACATATAATAATATAGTAATCCATAAAAATGATGCATCACAGGGAAAACTAGAAGATGGGCAAGAAGTAGCAGTGAAAAGACTTTCGAGTCATTCAGGGCAAGGCTTGGAAGAGTTCAAGAATGAGATCATATTGATCTCCAAACTACAGCACAGGAATCTTGTTAGGCTCTTGGGTTGCTGCATTCAAGGGGAAGAGAAGTTGCTGGTTTATGAGTACCTGAAAAACAGAAGCTTGAACACTTTTCTCTTTGGTTAGTTTGACATGGCAAAAAAATTTTACCCCCTAATAAAAATTGCATTTCATGCTTATTTTTTGTAGATTAAGTTTCATTAGAATATTATATTGACTAGAATCCCTATGATTTTCCATGAAATACTGTTGTTGCCAAGTTACTCTCCTCAAAAAAAATAATCCCCCTGTAGATTCAGATAGGACTGAACAATATGTGAACTATTCCCAAATTAACTATCTTAAGCGGACACATTGTTTTATTGAAAAGGAAAACACCATAATTTACAGTCCCATTTTTCACCATCAATTGTTTATAGTTCATTCACTACTGTTTCTAAAGGAATGCTAAAACTGTGTTCATCCTAGTTCTCTTATTCTGACTTTGATGAATGCATCTTTTTGACTGTCATGCTTCTGATTAGATGCAAAGAAAATGGTGGAACTTGATTGGGCTAAACGCTTCAACATAATTCAGGGAATTGCTAGAGGACTCCTTTATCTCCATCGTGATTCTTGTTTAAGAGTTATTCACAGAGATTTGAAGGCCAACAATATTCTCTTGGATGATGATATGAATCCCAAAATTTCAAACTTTGGCTTGGCACGAACTTTTCGAGTTACACAAGAGCTGGCAAATACTCACAGGGTGATGGGAACATTGTAAGGATCCTTTATTTCCTTCTGCTCAGTTTTGCCGACTATTTTTCATACTGATGCAGTTATGTCAAGGTCTCTACAAATAACAGTATTGTTGATTTAGTCACTAGGAGAGATCGACCTTTGAGTGTCTCATCTAGTGAAATCAAAATCTGAGGCAGTTGTATGCGACAATTTGGAAATGAAAAAAAGACTGGTGTTCACCCCAATAGTTGACTGTATTAGCCTAATATCGTTATTAGTGACAAACTACTCATGTATTGAATCATGATAGGTTACAACGAAAAACAACTGGCAAAACAAAAAATTGTAGGGTAAATTACATGTCGGCCTCGAATTTTCATTTGAATTTCACTTTGGTCCCTTGTCTTCTAATTGCAACAATTAAGTTCACTCACTTCAAACCTTGTTCAAATATGGTGCTTCTGTCAGTCGCTGTTTAGGTAAAAATAATACTTTTCACTCTTAAACTTTCACTCAAATTTCACTTTGGTCTTTATGTCACAAATCATTATATATGATAAAGAAAAAATTGGTGGAACAAAAAATCACCTAACCTTTATAAATAGCATGGAGTGCTCTCTTTCTCACCTCATCTTACTTTGTCCCTCCCTCCCTCCCTCTCTCCCTCTGATTAGCCATTGTTCTCATTTCATAGACCATGGTCAGTATTGTGAACTATCTCAACATTTTGCAGACAAAACAGATTGAAAACAATGATCTCAATAGTACACAGCAAAGGCCTTCTTCTATTAGTTAAATGTAACATAGATAGCTTCAAGAGTACTCCAAAATAATCATTTCCCTTAGATTGCAATTGTCTTGTTTTTTGGAAAATACTTATTTTATTTGCTTCTATGTCATTTCTTTTCTTCCTTTTTGGTAATCCATTTTCTTCCAACTTCTATTTGAACTTGGAGCAATTCATCTGTGATCAATAAATAATTCTTTTGCCTTCCCCTTTTCATTGCTAGAATAGCTGCATAACATTTATTTATTGGTAGTTATATGTATCTCATGTAAGAAGAAACGTTACATTTTCTAATCAAATGCAGTGGCTACATGTCTCCTGAGTATGCAATGGGAGGGCTATTTTCAGAAAAGTCCGATGTATTTAGTTTTGGTGTTTCGCTACTAGAAATAGTTAGTGGCACGAGGAATACTAGTTTACATTACCAGGATCAATATCTAAACCTCCTTGGTTATGTAAGTGCAGTAATTTGACCTTAATTTGCTTTTGGAAACTTTAGTTTCCTTGATTATGTGGTTCTTATAATTTCATATATTGACATAAGTGAGGCCAAGGGGTTGGTTGTATGGATGCGAGTAGCAGTAGTAGGGGTATTCTGTACTTTCCGAATCTCTCTCGATGCATGTCATCTGCCTGTACCTTTAATTTCATGCTGTTAATGAAATTTTTCTTTGCTGATCAAAAAAAAAATATATTGACATAAGTGGAACTATTCCAGGCATGGCAACTGTGGAACAAGAGAAGGGCATTAGACTTAATGGATGAATCATTGGATGACTCGCTTTCCCAAACAGAAGCTATAAGATGTATACATATCGGCCTTCTTTGTGTTCAGGACCATGTTGCGAATAGGCCAACCGTGTCAGCAGTAGTTATCATGCTAAGCAGTGAAATAGAAGTTCCACAACCAAAGCAGCCTATATTTACTACTCAAAGTTTGTCAGAAGCTACTGATCTTCGATCACAATGCAATAGTATATGTTTCATGAGTACTGTCTCTAAATCAAATTTTTTTTTGATCGACAAAGTAAAAATTTCATTAACAACATAAAATTAAAGGTACAGGAAGATGGCATGTATCGAGAGAGATTTGGAAAGTACAAATTACCCCTACTACTGCTACTCGCATCCATACAACCAACCCCTTGACCTCACGATTTTTTTATATGAAAAACAAAAAAGTTAAGAAGGGCTTAACTAAAAAATAAAATACAAGAAACCCCACAAAATCTGCCCACAAAAACCAAGCCAAATCAAAACCCAACACCAAACACCAAAGCTTTCCCGCCCACTTGCTATTTTTCAAACTAAAGCTTTCCCATCTCTAAATCAATTATTGAAGGACAATAACCAAATTCAAAATTATACTTTGTGTGAGTTGGAATCATGGTGACGATTCACCTGGCTTGATGACTAACAAGCAAAGAATGCAGATTGTGTGACAGAAACTGTTACACGTAAAGAGTTTCATATTCATCAGAATTGTGAAACTGACTCACTGGTGCAGCATTGGATATTTTGCTCACAAACAACTTGTTAGTTGACATGTTCCTTCTCATTAAGATTTTAGGTATTATGAAAATTACCTAAATTCAATGGTTGTGTTTATTTTGAGAATATTTTAGACTGCCGTTTTAGTTTTTGTATGAAATGAAAAATTTTAGTGCATTTGGAATAGTTTTTACAGTTGAATAGACGTGGGAAGAAATGATTAATTGATATATATGACGTGGTATTTTAATCTTTTTGATTTTTTAATCTTTTTGTGACTTTTAATTTTTTTTAATAGCCAAAAAGTCATGAGCCAAACCAACGTTATGGCAAGAGAGCTTCTAATGAATAATTTTTTTTTGGGACTTTTCTCTTCCTACTGAATTCCTAATTTTTCTTCAGTTCCAAATTTTTCTTGTTGAATTCCAAATTCCTATAATGATGTTTAAGCCCCTACATGCTTTTGTTTTACATCATAACCAATGTAGTATTTGAAAAATGGTAAATCACACTTTTAATCGCTGTAGTTTTGAAAAAAAAAAAAAAAAAGAGTTAATAAGACAAAATATCATATTTTACACATCAATCAATCAATCATTTTTTCTCTCACAACCATTTATTTATCCATAAAAAAAATTCACAAATCATCCCAAACATAAGGTTTTTTTTTTTTTTTTTCATTTCATAAAATAGTCCAAACATCAACTAAGATAACCAAGTTCCCAAGCAAGGGCTAAACATTTCAAATTAAGTACTGAATGTCAAATTCTTTTAAGTTAAAAAGTTATTTGATAAAAATTTAAGTGTTCAATTAAATTGTTTAATATGTAAAAGATCAAATTTAAAATTTATTATTTTTAAATTATATATTTTAACTTTTATATTGTGATGGTGATGGAGGTGATGATAGTGGCCTTGGTGCTAATGATGTCAATAGTGGTGGAGATGAAGGGATAATGGTTGTAATTATAGTGGAGAGGTAATGTAGTGGAGATAGAAAGAAAATAGCGGCGATGGTGGTTAGTGTGGTGGTAGAATGATGGTGGTGATTATGCCGATGGCGACAATGGTTGTGAGATGTGAAGGGTAGCAGTAGTTGTACTGCTGATAATGAGAGTCGTGATTGTGATAGTGGTAATGAATGACGGTGGTATTGATGACAACAGTAAAAATGGTGATGGATGTGATGATAATGAAAAGGGTGGTAGTGGTGATAACAGTAATGGTGGTGGTGGTGGTGGTGAGGTTATAATGGTGCACGTCAACAATTATGCATAAATATTTATAAATTCAACTAACATTAATTAAGTTTATAATCAATTAAAAATTTCTTAACTTTTAACTTATATTGAAAGAATTATTTAAATTTTTAAATAATATATGATTATCAAATAAGTTTAATTAGTTTTTATTTAATATATTTAGTTTTAAGTGCTGAATTAAATTATCAACTATTATCATCACCTTATTGACATAACACAATTTTAAATACAGAATTTTAAGTTGGGTTTCATTTTGAATTCAATAAACCTTATCATTATTGAATACAATTGTTGTTACATAACACTTAATTTTAAGTACAGAATTTTAAGTTGGGTTTCAATTTGAATTCAATAAACCTTATCATTAACATGATTGCCGTCATATATTTCGTACAAATTTATATTTGTTTTGGATTAATGCATCTCCTTTTTCATCATCAAACAAGAACTGGCATTATATTCCAAGTTCTAACATGGTATCTAATCCTCTAATGAACTTTATCTGCATAATTAGAAATCATCATCTATGATATTGTTGGATGAGATTCTGTAAAGGTGTGCTTGGAGTATAAATTTAGGTAGAAATTTTAAAAGGGAAACAAAAAAAATTGTAACATTTCATTTACATTTTCTTTTTCTTTTTAAATTTTTATTCAAATTCATACTCTAAACACAACCTAAATATTGTCTCTTTGAAAACATTCGATAAACTGGGAATGATTATGTCTACCTGTTACTCAAATATTGTTAGGCACTCATGGAGAGTGTCTTGACATAATTTCACCAAACACAAAATCGCACGATTGTGTGCGGTCCTGTGCGGTCCAACGCCTGGATAGATTTAAGGATTTTCAAAATTTTCAATTGTAAAAAAATAAAAATAAAAATTATACAGAAAAATAAAAGAGAAAGAGAAAATATATACTCCTTCCGCCCCAAAATAATGATCCTTTTTGGGGAATTCAACTTTTTTTGATAGTACAATTATTATACTTTAAAAAATTTGATTTTCCAAAATTACTCTTTAAGAGAGTAAATTGTCATATCACTACTCATACTCCTCGAATTGAAGTTGCTACTACAATTACAATTCATAACTATTTGCAAACTACTCTTAATAAAGGAAAGAAAAATGAATCTAATTAGTCATCATGACTTTTTTAAAATGTGTTCTTTTTTTGCTTTTCAATAATGACTACAAAAACATATTTTATATATTACCTCATATATTAACATTGCAATGGTAATAAATCAAAACTTATTAAATCAATATAATATTAACACATGAAATAATAACAAAATATTATATAAAAAAATATGATCACTATAGCATTATATATTTTTTTTAATTTTTAGTCTTGAAAATTTCGGGGCTTCTTCTAAATGGGCCTAATGTCATTGCTTGAATGGCTAAGATAATTTGGGGGGACAATCTATCTCAAAGGAGGTAAGATTCAATAGTTCTTTATATAAGGGCTTAATAGTCTGACTGAAACTATAAATCAGGCCAAACAAACAGAAGATTGAGAAGAATTAGGGGACAAAATCAAGACTGTGAACACACATATTCCCCTAGTCTAATCAGAATCCTATCTAGTCCCCCAAATAACATGGTCTAAAGTAAGGTAGAATAGTTAGTTGCATGATAAACATATGGCACACTATTCAATCAACGGCCTATAACTAACTTTAACAGAACACTAGAAATATTGTATGTATCAATGGCCTCAAAGTTCATTATTTTCTTCGAGTATATAATATTGTTTACAATCAAATTTGTTGTTGCTGTTACCACTACAGCAACTGCGTCAAATTCTAAATGCAAAGATAACAAAACATAGATAGTTGGGGCTATGGCTTTGAATTGTCTTTCAAAGAAGTTGCCTTTCACTTTTTTAGGATTGCCTTTAGGGGCTAATCCCAAAAGGAAGAGTACTTGGCCACCAGTCGTGGAAAAGGTCAAGAAAAAGCTCTCTTCTTGGAAGAGGAAGCTGTTGTCTTTCGCTGGGAGACTGTCACTAATCAAATTAGCATTGACCAATCTACCAACCTATTTTCTTTCTATTTTTAAGATGCCAAAGGGGATTATCAAGATTACAACTAAGCTGCAGTCCAATTTTTTTGTGGGGAGGGAATGAAACTAATAGGAAAGTGCATCTCGTTAAATGGGAGGAGGTCATGAAAAGTAAGAGCCAAGGTGGTTTGGGGGTGAGAAACTTAGGGGAGGTTAATGCAAGTTTGTTACTAAAGTGGTGGTGGAGGTTTAGCAGTGAGGATAAGGCCCTTTGGAAATCAGTGGTGTGTTCCAAGTATGGCAGATTGGGTGGGGCTTGGATCCCTTTAGTGAATCAAATAGCAGGGGTTTCTATGGTTTGGAGGGACATTACACAGATTACTGAGAGCAATCAGCAATTGGATGAGTTTTTTGGAGGCCAATTAAAAATCATTGTTGGTAATGGGAGGTGAATCTAGTTCTGGCATGATACCTGGCTGGGTTTTAGGAGTTTGAAAACTGAATTTCCCAGATTATTCAGTCTATCCACAGAGAAGGAGGAGACTCTCCACCAAATCAGTTCGAAGAAAAGTCTTTTAGGGGAGTGGTAGTTCCAATTTAGAAGGAGACTGTTAGCTTGGGAAGTTGAGGAGCTACAGAGGCTGTGTGGTTTGTTGGTGGCATCCCCAACCCTTAGAGTTGGGTTTGAGGACTCTTGTTCTTGGGCAGCAGAGGGATCTGGGCAATTCACAGTCTCATCTGTGAGGATTTGGAGGCCAATTAAAAATCATTGTTGGTAATGGGAGGTGAATCTGGTTCTGGCATGATACCTGGTTGGGTTTTAGGCTTGAAAACTAAATTTCCTAGTTTATTCAATCTATCCATAGAGAAGGAGGAGACTCTCCACCAAATCAGTTCGAAGAAAAGTCTTTTAGGGGAGTGGCAGTTCCAATTTAGAAGGAGACTGTTAGCTTGGGAAGTTGAGGAGCTTACAGAGGCTGTGTGGTTTGTTGGTGGCATCCCCAACCCTTAGAGTTGGGTTTGAGGACTCTTGTTCTTGGGCAGCAGAGGGATCTGGGCAATTCACAGTCTCATCTGTGAGGAAGTGGTGGGATACAACTTCAGGGCAAGATGTAGCAGTTCCACCAGGGGTGTGGGTCAACTTAGCTCCTCCAAAAATGCAGCTTTTCTGTTGGTTGGCTTGGCAAGGTAGGGTCAAAACCTCTACCTTCCTTCATAGGATTGGGGTTCTTGGTGTGAGTGTTAATAAGTTGTGTGTGTTCTGTCATATAGTGGAGGAGCCTATGGAGCATGTGCTTATACACTGTCCAGTAGTTTGGAAGTGTTGGTCTCACATGGTGTTTTGGTGGGGTCAAGTCTGGGCTATACCTAGTTCTGTTGCAGGTTTGCTGCATTGGTGGTTTGATGGGAAGCTAAAGCCTTGGATTGGTCAAGTTTGGCAGATTATACCCTCTATCGTGTTTTGGTTTGTTTGGAAGTTGCGGAATGATTGTTTGTTTAAGGGGAGCTCAGCCAGATATTCATGATTTATGTGAAAAGATTAAAGTGCAGATGGCTTTGTGGTCAAAATGGCTCTTGAATGTAGATTATTCAGTGCATGACATTGTATCCAACCTCCACCAGATCAGGTGTGCTGTCTGATTTCTAATTCAGTCTGAAATCTGCTGCTGGTTCTTTGGCTTATGGTCTTTGCCATGGTTGGTTTCTTGCCAACTGTTGGGAGATGGCTTGCTTCAGTTTTGGGTCCTCTATTGTTGCTTTTTGAGTTTTCTTTGCTATTGCTTGCTCTGTTAGCTCTATTGATCAGCATTGTTAGTTTCAGTTAGCTCTGTTGTTAGCTCTGTTGTTCTTGTATCCTCCTTCTTCCTCTTTATTGATGTATCCTCATTCTTGTATGACTCATTTCATCAATAAAGTCTCTTAGCATATAAAAAAAAAAAAAGCATAGATAGTTCTCTTTTCTCAGCAATAGGGGTGTAAGATTCTTTGAGACCTTAGAATAAATAATAAAATGAGGCTTTATTTTAATAAGCCTTCAAAAACGAGACATTTGCCAACAAGAATTTTTTAAATTTATTTTTTGGCCTTGAGCGATAGGTTAAATACCCTAATGGTTGAGCTACTGTACTTCTCAATTATCGCCCGTAAATTGTTGATACACTGTCCTCATTTATGGAGCATATATTGTCACTTTGCAAAGCAAGACCAGAGTCCAACAAGCTTCGGAAAGTAAATGTAGGTTGTTTTGGCTGTGGACCGTCTATTTCACTACTTAGCAAGAGAATTATAGCTGGCATGGTTGGCCTATTTGCAACTTGGTCTTGAACACAAAGAAGGCCGACGTGGATGCATCTCATTACTTCTGATAAGGAGAATGAGTCAGCCAATACTTGATCCATGAGATCTAATGCCCTCCCTTCATTCCACAATTGCCATGCCTGAGATAGTCATTGAATTATAAACCTATGGTCAAAAAGACAAAGCAACGCATAAGGAAATTGTGAAATATTTCAAAGGAAAATTACCCCCTAGAAAATTGGTAACTACATACTAATTACGCTTTGAAGGAGAATAAAAAATAAGTTAGTGTAGGGATGGAAACTTGCAAAATAATTACAAATGGGTGAAAAATTAATTTGTAAAATGACGAAAATTACCCCTCCCCCTTTTCTCTCCTCTCCTCTTTTCTTAATTATCTTCCCTCTGCAATAACCCATCGCCGCCGGTCAACTTCGGGGTGAGAGAGGCTAGACAGAAAAAAGAAAGGAGGCATCGGGTGATGTAAGGGTTCTAGAGGGATTGGGGTGTGCTCGGAGGTTAGGGAAGGATGGTGAGGAGCTGGGGAGTTTGGAGGAGAGTAGAGAAGGAACTAGTGGCGACAGGAGTGGTTGGTGGGGAGGTATGGAGGTTTGAAGGAAGAGAGAAATAAGAGAAAAGAGAGAATGGGGAGAAGAGAGTGGAGGTAATTCGATCATATTACAAAATATCGTTACCAATATCGT